GTGCGGGGTGTGCAGAGTGTGCGGTGCGGGGTGTGCGGCCAGGGAATGCAGTGCAGGGAGCCGAAGGAGCCGCTGCTGAGCGGGCGCAGGGGGACGACAACGACGGGATGGTGGGAGGTAAGTGAGGGAGTGAGGGTGAGGGTAAGGGGTAAGAATTGGGGAGGGCACTAAGGGTGAGGAAGGGGAGTTTGGTTTCTTCTTGTCATTGGGGAGAGCAGGGAACTGGCGTGTAATGGGTGCTGTAATGTATGTCATGTATGGGTTTATCCAGTCCAGGGAGTGAAGCACTGGTTTCTATTCAGAATTCACAATGTTGCTGGAAAGACATCTTTGGATTTGCTAGAGCTAAAGGTGAGTGTTTCTGTATTGGAAAGAAATTCCTGCAGCAGCGGCACGGGGTGGTCTGGCAGCCTGCTTGAGCCTGGAGGAGCTGGGAGAAGATGAACCAAGGTAGATTCTGGGGAATTGTTCTGTGTGGGTTGGGTTTTATGCTGTGAAGTGGCTCCTCCACCAGTTCCGTGCCTCTACTGCTAAGTCTTGCCTTTTGCAGGAAAGACCATTTCCCCACTACAACTCAGTCACTGGAAGCAGAATTCAGCCATCATTTGGAGGAGAAAATAAGAGAGACTGAAGTCAATTTCTAATGTGATTTCTAGGCTCTGAATAGTTTCAGGCTAATTGCTGGAATTAGGTGCAGACAAAAGCTGCCTCTGCTCTCAAAAATAATCCCCAATGTCTCTGCTTTTACATTTCAACAGAAAAGAACTGGGTGGTTTGGAGTAGAGGATGAAAACACCGATAGTGCAGCCTTCCATGGAAGTTGGAGGAGAAATGAACTCAGGTAAGAACAAAGACAAAAAAGCTGATGTCAAATTAAAACAACTTCAAACCCCACCTGAGATTTTTCCACATTTGCTATATGTCACGACTAGTTCTTCTTTCCAGCTCACCTGTGAAGCTCTTGCTCTTCCTGATATAAGAAGGTGCTGAGAGTGTGAAGTCCCAAACCAACCCCTTTGTGAGACGCCACTGGAACGTCCTGCCAGTGCCAGGAAACCCCTGTCCCCGGGAAACCCCTTGTACCTCAGAGGCTCCCCCAGCTTTCTGTTTTAGGGTGGTGTTTGCAATGGCAGCCGCATCTTCACCATCTCTTGGACAACCAAGGAGCCGAAGCTGATGGATCACGTGCTGTCAGCTGGAGCCATGATCCCAGTGACCTCAAGCAGAGGAAAGACTGGGGTTAACCCACCATGCCTTCCTTGCTGCTTCAGCCATACAGGTCACAGGTGATGAGATTGCTGGAGGAGTTGGACCATTACTCTTCCCTAACCCAACTCATGTCCATCTACCAAGCAATCAACAGGACCACCTTCAACTGGACGGACAGCCGTGTTACTGAGTGGGAGAAATTTGCCGAGCTGGCTAAATATGAGCCAGAATCCCAGAAACCAACCATGAAAGCTCTCCTGATCGTGGCATACTCAGTCATTATCATCATGTCTCTCTTTGGGAACATGCTGGTGTGCCACGTGGTGCTGAAGAACAAGAGGATGCACTCAGCCACCAGCCTCTTCATCGTCAACCTGGCTGTGTCTGACATCATGATCACGCTGCTCAACACACCTTTCACTCTGGTAAGTGGCTGGCTGTGCTATCCCTTCAGCCACAAGGGGAGTCTCCTGCCCTTTAGAACTCTGGTGGTCACAGTCTCTCTGTGCATGCTCTCCTAGGGCTGAGGTGGGAACACAACACCACCAAGTCTAATAGACAACTCTACCAGGCAAGTAAAACACTGTACAGAAACCTGTGGGGTCCCTTTTCTCTGTTAGTCTCTGTATCTCCTAGAGACTCTTAAGTTTCTTCATGTGTGCCACCAAACCCCAGCAAGAGCTTCTCAGGGAATGAGAACAGGTACCTTGGTGAACATGTCCTTTTAATGTTCGTGCAGGAGAGCACTAGAGAGTCCCTTAGTAGGGCAGAACAGCCCAAATGCCAGTCATACGAGGTGACTGGAAGAAAGTAGCTGAGCTTTTCAGAGCTGCCAGATGGGTAAAGGCTTCAGTGAAAGCTGTCCAGACCTGACAGTTGATACCAAACCTTGGTGCACTTTTTCCAAATATAGTTGTTAATGCAATAAAAAGTTATTACTGCTGTTCACACATAATGGCCAGAACAGGCCAGGAGGGCTGCAGCAGCACCACCCCATAATCTGAGAGGTTTGACCTTCTAAATTCTTCTGTAAAGGTAGAGCCCAGTGTAGCTGATCTTTCTTTGGGTTTCAGGTGAAGGTGCCCTCCCAGCCAGAACCCCTGAACCAGCTCAGGTGCCACCCAAGGGATTTCCCCATGGATTTGTTTTCAGCATGTCTTCTGGCTGATGAGTTGTTGTTTCCCCTCAGGTCCGGTTTGTGAACAGCACATGGGTTTTTGGGAAGGCCATGTGCCACGTCAGCCGCTTTGTGCAGTACTGCTCCCTGCACGTCTCCACACTGACCCTGACAGCCATCGCTCTCGACAGGCACCAGGTGACACCACCCACCCCCTCCTCCCTTCCAAGACCTTCCCAATTCCCCCTCAATCTTGGTCGAGCCATGGGCCCAAGGTAGATGAATTTGGGGATTCAACCCCTCTCCAGTGAGAAGGCTCTAGAGCTTCACTCAGAGCCCTCCTGTGCCAGGGGCTGGAAGGATTGATGGACTTCTGTGGGTTCCTGAATATGAGGCAGAAGTGAAGGAACAAAATGGCATCATGGGTTTCACAGGGTGCTCCCAGATTTCCAGCTAAAAAGGGTGAGGACACCTTTTCCACCCAGTCTGAAGAAAGCTAGGTCCAGCCTAGCTCCAGGTATGGCAGGGCAACTGATTCCAGAGGCTTCATCTTGTGTGCAGGCCCTGGAAAGGCAGAGAGCCAGCACTGAGCACCAAGTGCTACTTCAGCTGTGCAGAAACTTCTTCAAGCCCATAGAACATCAGTGTGAGGCATCCTCAGCTCAAATTGTGATTTAGTTGTCTATTTGTTCTTTTACTCTTCTTTCCCCATTGGACATTTGCTGTGTCATCAAGCTGCAGGGCAGATGGAGTTAAATTCTGAGACCAATGTCCCGTGGTGGAGCCATGGGGCTGATGCTGGACCAGTACAAAGGGGAGTGGCAGAGGGGAAATCTCTGCTGGAAATACTGGGAGGAGGCTTGAGCTGTGAGAAGGTCGTGCTCGCTGTCTGTCCATGACAAATGCTGTCTGTGAGGGCAGTGAGGGCAGCCTGGGCTGTGGGCTTGTCCCTTGTAATCACTGCCCTCTCTTGTGCCATCATCAAATAGTAACTTCCAGACTATCAGATTTCATCAGCTGAAAGATCTAAGAGTGTAAATTTCATGACAGGTGAGTTGCTGCCTCAGCAGAGGGGAGGAGGGCTCAGTTTCACAGGCCCAATTCGAACAGGAGATATTTTTTATGTAGTTCATACAGAATAAACAAACATATCCTGGAGTGAAGGCACTTGTGTAGATATCTTCTTTTTTCTGACCTAACGTAACCCCCAATTTAAGGAAAACGGTTCTCACAGAAAAAGATAAAATTTTAAAGTTCTTCTGAGCAGACTGAGAAATTCAACATTTCCCATTTTCCAGGTCACTCTAATGAGCAGGACATTTTCCTAATCATGGCCATCATTCTCATATGATTAACTGTGTTACGTTCTGTCACAAACTGCCTCTGCCATGCGGGCTGGGAGGGGCTTTGCTTCCCTGTGGCAGAGGATTCACGGCAGAGTTTCTGTTGCAGGTCATCCTGAACCCACTGAAGCAGAGGATGTCCCTGACGAAGGGAGTGCTGAGCATCTCTGTTATCTGGCTGATGGCAACCTGTTTCTCCCTGCCCCATGCCATCTACCAAAAGCTTTTCCAGTATAACTACAGGTGAGTGATCTCCCCCTCCCAGTGAGTGTGCAGAGGTCCGGCAGCCCCCGTGCAGTGCCACTCAGTAGGGAGGGTGCTGGAAGCTCCCAGGTGTGGGGCAGGGTGCTGTGGGATCAGAGGGAGCCAGTGTGTGGGTGAGATCCCACTTCCTGCAGCAAAGGCTGGGCTGTGCAAGCACTGCCTGGCCTGTCAGGGGCACACGCAGCCCCCGGTCCTGGCATCGCCCTCACCACCTCCCACCACCCGGACGAGGGGCTGGGTCCCACTCCCGTGCTGGGGCAGCTCCAGGCGCAGCCATGGCCCTGCCAGGATGGACTCTGTCTGGAGAAGGTAATTTTCTCCCGAGGGCCTTTCCTCTTCCCTCTTCATGCCTGCTCAGCTCCTCAGACAGAACAAGACCAAGTCCAGCCAACTTGCTCATGCAGGGAGGAGAGAGAGAGAGTCAGACTGCAGTTTGGAAAGGAAAGAAAATAAACCTCATGGTGGGAACACCTGGTACTGACATCAACAAGGCTCTGTAGGGAGCAGGAGGAGGGGACTGCCTCGGTTTGTCAGCAGGGCCATCCCTTGTCCCCAGGACTTCATATACTGAGTTGCACGTTGTGGCTTCCCTGTATTTCATCCATATGGATTTGTGAATCAGGACCAACCTTCCTTGAAGCTTGAGGCTCCTCTGCCCAATGTTACACAAATGAGAAAAGCAAAGCAAAGCCCTCACCCCCTCCTCTGTGGCTGAGCAGAGCAGGACTAGGGGGAACCAGTGTGGGGCTGGGGGGATAACTGTGCAAGACATGTCAGGGACCAGTGCTTGGGCTGGAACCGGAGCTGTCCTGGTGTGCCATGGTGCCTCCCCACAAGGGAAAGGAACTCTTTGCTTGGCTGAACACAGCAACAGGAGCTATTAAAAGGAGATGAAGTAGAATTTCACACCCACATGAGGACTGCTGAAATGTCAGAATGAGTTCAAGGTTCTGATCTAGAGAGAAAAAAAGAAAAAGTTAATAAAAAGGCGCAACAGCTTATCTTCCCACAAATGGCTCAGGGATGGCATTTGTTGCTGCTGACACCCTCTGCCAGGGAGAAACACAGAACCAGAGCTTTGGGGTTTCTTTGCCCTGTTCCTCTGTGGTACCCAAACTGTTCTGTCCCTCCTGTCTCCACCAGCCTGTGGCATTGCTGTAACCCCTCCTGGCAAGAAAACCATAATGGTACCCAAGTGGGATTTTTGTGGTGGGTATCACACTCTTGGTGCTGCCCTTCGCAGGAAAGTCATTCTCGAGGGCACAGGGATAATCTTACCATGTCCTGTGTTTTCAGGCTGAGATCAGCATCCCAAGGAATGGGGCAAGGAGGCACTGGCAGGCAGCAGGAGTGAGATTTCTATTGTAGACATTGACCTTCTGTATTAAGGACAAATATTATTTGCTACAGCCCAGCCAGGTCCCTCCCTGCAGGAGAGCACGAGTGCCTGCACAGGCTGTCACTGCTCGTGGTGTACGAGGGGGAGTGCACCAGCTGAGAGTGTGAACGGGGCTTCACAGCCCTCCCCTGCCTGTGCTTGTGCCTGATGTGAGCGAGAGACCCAGGGGATATCATACATCCAACTGCCCAGACTGTAAACACGGGCAGGGTTTCTGTGTGCTCACGTTGCTCCCCAGCTGTGCCCTGGGATTAGGGAACAAATTGCTCATGAATGAACAAACGCCATGATCTGTTTCTGGGCACCTGTCTCTGCTCATCCTTTGGCACAGCCGGAGGAAACTGAGCCCCACATTGGCATGAGGCAGCTCAGCGATATAAGGACTTCCAGGACATGCTATTCCTGTCCCTGCTTTCCATTGAAAAAAAATCCCAGTTGTAATATTGCTTATAATAACTCCTGCAGGGCCAGGGCTCCTGAGATTCCCACCAGAGAGCAGTTGGGATTCTGGGATGGGGAAAAGGGGCTCCACCAGCATCCATTTCTCTGGCTGCACTGCACAGCAGTGTGTCTGAATGCCTGGTCATATCAGAATTCACCAAAACAGTGTCTTCTCTGGTCCGCTTTGGCAGGTCCCCTTTGGCAGGCAGGCTGGCAGAGCTGCCTGCAGGCAGGGTCTGGCCTCACCTGTGCCAGTGGTGAGCCATATCTGTGGAGGAAAAGCCAAGACTGAAGTTCAGAAAAGATGATTTTCCCTCCTGAGTCAGTCCCACTTTCAAGCAGTCCCTCCAGGTCCTCTGTGCTTGGCAGAGCTCAGCTCCAGCACCTATTGACACCCCTCTGACCTCAGCCCCTGCTCCAGCTGCCTGTTCTCAACAATCTTCTATTTGTGGCACAAAAGGCAGCTCCAGTGGTTGAAAACAGGATATTAAAGATATTAATCAATACTGCAAAGAATAATGCAACTTGATGGGGACTAAAGTCTGTGCTGAATAGAGGACAGCAGAGTACAAGGACTGAAAAGAGAAGGACAAAATGAATGCAAAGGAAGGGGGAAAGGAAAGAAAGGGAGAAAACATTCACTGGAAGTAAATGTGCAAGTGTTCTTTTCTCCTAATGTTCCATCACCCCCAGTCACCAGCTGTGGGGCGTGGAGGGAACATGCAGTGCTGCAGAGGGTGCTGGGGCTGAGAGCCACTGCCGGGCACTGGGAACGTGCCAGGACCCCGGGCTGGACAGGATGGGTGTAAGGGGTTGTTAAAATGAGCAGTTGCACATAGTTACACTTGGTTCTTCTGTTATTTAATTCTCAGAGGTTCAACTGGAGCCGAGTCACTAATCATCACACCTGTTTTAAGAGGTAGCAGTAAGGTTTTAGCAGCTGATGGCAAGAGAATGGTGGGTAGGGAAGGGAAGTAAGATGGGCTGTTTGTGCCTGCGAGGCTTTCTCACAGCTCCCAGTCTCCAGCAGCCCCCTCCCTCCCCTCCAAAACAACTTTAGCTTTTCACTACTGCAGCAGTTTCCACTCTGGCCAAGGGGTCCTGTGCTAGGGAGGCACGGCAGGTTAAGGGGTCCTGGCTGCTGGGGGGCACGGCAGGGTGGGTGCACCCGTGGAGGGCAGGGCCTGCAGGCTCTGTCCCCAGTGTCCACACTACACCTCTGAAAGGGTGGCCATGGGTGGTGTGAGACCCCCAGTGTGGTTTGCCGAGCCGGCAGCACCATTTGACAGCAAAGACCATGTGCCATATCTGGCCTATATTTCTTTGTTTTCAAGGGAAGCCACTGTCCGGAGTTTGTGCCTCCCTGATTTCCCTGAGCCCTCAGAGCTGGTGTGGAAGTATCTGGACCTGTCTACATTTCTCCTTCTTTACCTCCTGCCTCTGCTGATCATCACCATCACCTACACGCGCCTGGCCAAGAAGCTGTGGCTCCGCAACGCCATCGGGGACGTCACCACGCAGCAGTGCATCACCCACCACAGGAACAAGAAGAAGAGCATCAAGATGCTGATGCTGGTAGTGGTGGTCTTTGCAGTCTGCTGGTTCCCCCTCAACTGCTACGTGGTGCTCATCTCCAGTCTGGGCATCAAGACAAAGAACTCGCTCTATTTCGCCCTGCACTGGTTTGCCATGAGCAGCACCTGCTACAACCCCTTCATCTACTGCTGGCTGAACGAGAGCTTCCGCGCGGAGCTCCGGGCGCTGCTGTGCCTCTGCCAGAAGGCCCCGCGGGCTCAGGACCACGCGCTGCCCACGTCCTGCCGCGAGGTGTGGATGGAGCAGGCCAGGTGCAGGAAGGGAACTGTCTCCCAGACCATCTGCTCCACCGGGAACCTCCCAACAGCCAACACGGACCTGTGAGCTGTGGGGCTGAGGGGAGTTACCTGGGTGTGTGGGACATCAAAAGGCACCTCCCTGTCTCTCCTCAGAAGCCAACGTTGCTGCTCTGATGTTTCACTGCTGATTTTTGGCTGGTCTCGCTGTAGCCCCTCCTATTGCTTGGCATGGAGGGTGCTCAGCCTCTCCAGCACCCTACCAGTAAAGCCTGGGCTGCAGCTGGCCCAGGGAGCAGGAGTACATGCAGGGTGCATGGAGCTCCTCAGACACAGAAATATGCTTTTGGGGATTCTCATTTATTGTTATCAGAGGTAGTGAACCCAGATTTCTATCACTGCTCACACTGGCCTGAGTCATTGGCCTGGAACACGTGCCACGACATGGAGCTTGGCACAGCATCAGAAACAGATTGTGTTTGAAGGAGGGACTTGGACATCAGATGAACTTCATCCACAGGGAGTTTCACCAGATAGTTTATAGCAAAGTCTTCTGACAGAGGTAAAGGTTTCCAACAGCAATTTTTCCCTCAGATGCTGCTGTTCCTCCTGCCCCATCTCTGTACCACCGATGGCAGCTGGAACCCAACCCCGAGTGAGAGGAGCAGGGATGCACCTCAGGAGCCATGGCTGCAGCCTCAGATGGCACGGTGACCAAGTAATTTAGTCCATTGAGAATTTCTTTGTATTATAAATATATTAATTCAGGAAATAGAGGTACAATGGCACTCTATGGAAGGCCACAAAATATTTCAGAACTGTAGCATTCACTCACTGAAGAATGGAATCATTCTGCCTCATTACTAATTGCTGTAAAAGTCTCATTTAAACAACAGGAGGGCAAAAAAGGACCAAAAAGAATGTCCTGTGAGGAGCAACTGAGGACTCTGGGGTTGTCTAGTTGGTGCAAACCAGGTGACGAATTCCAGTAGCCCAAAGGAGCTGTGGCTGCTGGGGGCAGGGGTGCTCCTGGTCTGCCCTGGCCATAACTGGGCAGAGCTTCTGCCCAGGGAGGAGGGGAGTGCCCTGGTGGCTGGAGGCGATGAGGACGTACTCCCAGCAGTTCCTGGGGCATGATAAGCCAGACCAAAGAATTGAAACCAAGGACTGATTTTTTTTTTTTCCATTTATGCAGTGAGAAGGAATAGGAAAGAAAGGAGGGGGAGTCCTCTCTTCTGGCCACTTGACCCCAGTTGGGTGCATCCCTGCACCTCGGGTGTGCATTGCAGTGCCCAAACACTGGCAGCAGAAGTGGGTGTATACTTGGTCCCTGAGGCACCTCGCTTGGAAGTCACAGTTATTGAACATGGGAATTCAAAGCTGCCTGTGCTGGGTACCAGTGCTGCCCTCCCTCAGTGTACAGCAGGGTCTGTTTTCAGTCAAAAGACCTCATTGGGAGTTTTTCTAAATGTTAAAATTATCTCTAATTATTGAGCATCACTTCATTTAATTATTAAGAGAAGTGGTCATTTGCTTTTTTGCTGTTCCTCACCCCTCATCAGCTTTTGGTGAGGGGCTCTCAAAGGCCATGAATTGTCTTTCATATTTCTTAGGTTTATTTTCCTTCCTTTCTTCCTTTAAATATAACCTTTTTCTGGATGAATCAAACACCTCACTCCAAAGAAGTGGGTCTCTCTTTGCACTCCCTTGACCTGCTGCTAATCCCTGAAGTTAGCCACCTCTTGCTGTGAGAAATAACCTGGCTGGTTTTGCTTGGATCTGTCAATCGCAGCATCTCCTCATTGCTGCATTTTTCTCCCCTAAATGGGCAGGATGTAAGAGCTGACTGTATCACATCTCTCTAAAGGCTCAGCTATCTGGACTGATAATTATCAATGCCTGCATGAGATTCAGAGCCTCGCATGCTTCGCCCAATGCCTCGACACTCCCATATCACTTGAGGATACCCTGACTCCCAGCAGCACCCCGCAGCAGTTCTCAGGCAAACACAGGATGCAAAACATCAAAAAAGCCATAGCCTGAGTGATGTTTGACCAGGGCAAGGGCAGTGCCTGAGGGGCAGGAGGCTGCATCCCTGATGGACTGCAGGCGAGCAGAGTGCTTACCGAGACAGGCTCTGGAAAAGGGAATCTGTGATATTCGGCTTTTGCTGAGTCTGAGTCCACTCAGCAGGTAAATAGATGCTGAGACATTCCTTAATCTGTCTCTGGTCCCGCCGCCCACCTTTGGGAATGGCTCCCTGAGCAGTGGCAGAGGCAGCCCGCTGTCCGAGATCCCTAGGGCCAAGGGAGAGCTTCCCGAGACAGGACCAAGGGAGAGCTCCCAGAAGGGGGACCCCGGGCTGCCCCGCGTGTGCTCCCGGCCTCATCCAGACTGTGCTGGTGGGCGCAGGGTCCTGCCCCGGCCGAGGCAGCGGCAGCACGGTTTGGTCCCTGCAGCCCCGAGGTTGGAGCCGGACAGGAGTGTGGCGTGGGAGGAGAATCCCCCGGGAAGCCCGAGCCACGTGGAGAGCCCTTGTCCTGCCTGCGGAGCGAACCCTCGACCCGCGCCCTCGGCGGCTGCGGGTGCGGCGCCTCTCGGCAGGCGAAGCCCCGGGAGGCAGAACCCCGAGGGAGAGTTTGGAGGGCAGATTATTGAAACACTGAGTCACTACAAGTCTACTCCAGGGAAGCTATTTGAGCACACACAAATCAGTGTGCAAAGATCCAACGAGACATGTCTGAGTGATTAACAGCCCAAATTTATTAAGGTTAGCTCATGCCAAATGCAGCTGAGTGCCTTCAGCAGAGTTGCTGATGAAGACGATAACAGGGAACATAGTGCAAGGGATACCTGAATTCCAGAGACAAATCCTCTTATATAGCCCCATCACATAATGAACAAAGAAACCACAACATGCCAACTAGATTAACAAAAAGCAAGCAGAAAAAAACCACAATGAGTCAGAAAATTAGCTCAGAAGGAGAAACAGAATACAATTATCATCAGTTAGCTCTTCAAGTGAAAAACAGTATGGAGGGGCTGGCCAAAGCATGCTGCAGAGAAAAATGGGAATGTCCTCCGTTAAATCCAGCACAAGCCCTGGGAAGTAGGGGTATAGATGAGCCAGAGTCAGACCATCATTTTGCACTGAGAAATAACTTGGCAGCTTGGGTCATTCATGGACCAGGGAAGGAAGAGGGAGGAAGGAACCTGGACGTGAGAGGCACACCCCAAATTCCCGCGTGGGCGATGATGTGCAGCCGCCCTGTGCCCCAGGCAGCAGGAGAGCACCTCCCTCAAGTCAGGGCACACAGCTCTGCCCTCTCACCGACTGCAAAGTCAGCCTGCCTGCCCCCCCCTAGAACCCCCTGCTCTCCACAGAACCCACCTGCACTCCACAGAACCAGCCTTCTCCCCCCCCTCAGCCCCCACTGCCTCCCCCTGCCACTACTCCTGCACTGTGGTGGGCAAAGGAACACTTCTGATCTCCCAGACTTTGGATGGAGCCCAGACAGGAATACCGGCAGGTGAGGGCCGGTTTAGCACCAGGCACAGGGTGCAGTTAGTGCTTGGTTTGAAGACTGCTGGCATTTCCCAAGTGATCCCCACCCCAATTCCAAGGTCTGTTCCTGAACTGCTCTCCCAGGGTGATGCCTGAATACTCCCAGTCCTTGGCTCTTCCCGATCTACGCTGAGCAGGTACATCAGAGGCCAGACCACAGGTATCATAGTTTATTATACCTAACAAAAATGATGGCAGCAAGTTTAAGAGCAGCAGATTTTGTACCTATTTTTGAGACAGGAAAAATGTTTACTTGTGGCCTCATCCTGTCTCAGGCAGTTTCCCACAGGAATTAAGCGATCAATTAATCAATGACCCCAACCTTTTGCAGCTTCTTTCTCCTTCCACAGCTTATTTTGACCTTTTACTGGTAATACATGCCAAACATGGCAGAATTCAGAATACAAGGAGTGCCTGAATCACTTCCATGATGGATTTACCACAGTTCCATTAGTGGGGACCTGCAGCAGGCTGGGTGGCCCTGGGCTGTTTTGGATAGTTTCACTTGCTTCTGAACTGTGATACACTGCTTGGACCTTCCACCTTCAGATTAATAAAACCGAGTCCCTCCTAAGGGCTGGAAAAGAATCAAGTTTTAGTTTTTACCACTGTAGTATTTCCTTCACAGTATATTGTCTTTCATGAACCCCTCTTCACAGGCCAGTTATTCACCTGCTTGTCTCTAATTCCTGCCCTGTTCTGAAATTAAATGCACCAGTTGCTCGTGCTGACAAACAGTGACTGACACCAATGGTTCCCACATGGAGGTGGCCATGGCTGCATTCCAAATAAACTCTTCCATGCAGTGTCCCTTCCCTCTTTACATTCACATTTCTATGGTAGGATATCGATTTTTTCCCCTTTATTAAATTAGAAGGTTCATTTTAAGAAACCTGAAGCTGACTTGAACATAAGGGTACCTCTGTGTTCTATATGAGAGAATTGCATTAACTTGCCTTCCTTTGCCTTCCATTCAAGGGAATATAAGTATTCTGCTGTCCTGCACAGCTTGCAGGGCATGATGTAGGAATATTCATTCTCCAGGAGAACTGTTATGATTAACAGAGCTAATAAAGACCATAAATATTTAGCAATGTATTCAGACATCTCAGCTATAAATGGGAACAGATTCATTGCTTGACTGATTCTCCACTTCTTTGTGGAGCCCAGTTGTCTAATACTTTGTTTTTCCTTTGTTTCCTCTGGTCACTGTGAAGAAAGGAGAGACTGAGGGGGAAGGTGGGACAAGTGTCCTATTTTCCTATCTGTACTGCTGAGCATTGCTAACACGTTCTCTGCTCCCCCTCCCTGTACAAAGTGGGGGATAGAAGCCTTTCCTCCATTTCATTTTGGTCTGTATTGCTGTGTGTGTTCACACACACGCACGTTCCTGACACCACGCTGCCGTGCTTTCCATGGCACAGATTCTGCAGGGCTGGAGCACGACCCTGTCGGTGCCCGGGGGGGGGACGTGCTTCGGGAGGACCTCTGGGCAGGAGCCGATGAGAGCCCGGTGAGCAGCA